TACCCCACCCTCTTCAACAGGACAGGGTATGCAGGGAGCAGATTGTGGCTTAGGTCAAGCCCCAGTCCCAAACTGCCATCACCCCACAACCTGGCCACATAATCCTAGCCTCACCTGCCCATCCTGCTTCCGAATATTACTCCCCACCTATAAGGAGTTTTGGTGAGTCATTGCATAGGCAGTGGGGGGTCCTGACAGCTCATCAGAACTCTTTATGTGGCCCTTAGGCCTAAATAATTCCCCGCCCCTGCCATAGCAGCACTTGTCACTGTGGGCTGCTTACAAGGTGGCCTGCTCCTATTCACCCAATGGTCCCATTGACTAAATTTGGAAACAGTACTTTTGAGTTGAGCAACTTTTGATGTCTAAGTTAAGACCCCAAAATCTAAGTTTCAATGAACAGAACAAACAAATAAAGCAAACTAAAAATTACCTCCTGTAAATTTAACTGATATCACACTTCAGCAACAACAATATCTTAAGTCTGTATTCACTTTTTACATTTGTCCACTGAGTTAATATATATGCACATAACACCGGTTTAGCATCTATAACCCTCTCCACTTATCCATCTCAACCCTTAGATCTGTTCCTCCAAAGTTAGAATAGAATACACCCCCTAGTAGATAGCGTGTTGTTTCCAAGAGCAAAGTATTGCCAACTTAAGGCATCTGTGGTGTTCTGAAATACTAATTTTATAATTAACACTACAAACTTTATATTCCATACCTAGAAAGAAAAAAGTTTTTTCAGAAGGACTGTACTATTAAATGCATTCAGCTTTAATTTTAAGCAAAAGTTCAAAATAGCTGCTGAAATACTGGCATTGAATGAAGGATAGGATCAAATCAACAGAACTTGAACATGATTGTATAGGATCAAATGACTCAAAGAACTGGGAGCTTGGCTAGTGAGCCATTTGCTTCTCGGGTCACCGACTCCAATCCAATCTTGCTCATTGCAAATGAAATATTTCCATTTGAGAGCTGCACAGATGCCATGTCTGTTTGGAATCTCCATAAAGACCCTAGAAACTAGGAACAAAGACTGAATTAACCTCTTCTCTTAAAAGTGACCTGAAAAGAGAAACATGTTGCAACTAGATACACACAAAGAAAAAGTAGACACTTGAACAACTGCCATCTTTGTCTACTCTGTGTTTCCTAGCTAATTAGATTTAATTGTCCAGGGTTGTCAGGGCAGTACTTGCCTTGAGCAGCACACTGACTTTTTCTGAAATAGTCCTAAATTCTTGAATCAGCTAGAGTCCTTCTATACATGACTTGAAAATTACATTGCAAATGTTGCTAGCAAAAGGAGGAACAGGCTTTTCTGTATGCCTAATACTGAGACATCTTTCAATTTGTGCAGACCTAAAGCAGGACTTCTTCACTTTTGAAGAGACAAAACTTAGCATGGATGATAAAAAAAAAAAAAACATCCTATTGAGTAAGAATATCAGGACTCATAACCATCTGGTCAGATCCAATTATTAGAAAAATGAAGGAATCTCTTGCTAGCTGCACCACAGGGAAAATTCTTAAGAGACTGCCATTTACCATTTATAACTGCAGCAGGGAACAAGTGTGATATATGATTTGTATTGTGTGCCAGATTCAGAAATGCACATTTTGGTTTAGATACATTCATTATGCTGTATCTACAGAGATACATCTGTGGAGATTAAATAACTATAATGAAGAAAAACAGCAGATTTTTGAAGTTTGAACAGAGCACCTGAACCAAACACTGCATTTTATTTCCACTTTAATTGATCTCAGGAGCACATAATGCCAACTTGTATTGTAAATGTTTCTTTTAAAAAGACCAGATGCCTTGCTGCTTGTAAGAGTTGCAAATTTTAAAAGTTAAAAGTGAATTTTCGTTTGGTATGCTGACTGTTCAACCCTTCCATCCTAAATCGATTTCAGAAGCTATTCTCTTAATTCCATTTCATCTGCATTAGATGTCGGTTCTTGTTAGATGCAGAAGTTCAATGACTGAAAGGTATCTAAGTCATGAAAATGTAGCAGTATTGTCTATAGTGCTGATGTTGAATTTGTGGACCAAATATTTGTGTGGATGGATAAGAAGTTAAGAATAGATGTTAGTATTTGAGAATTTTTTTGACGTTATTTTTCATAGAATGAAATACATGGAATAAAAATCAACCCAAATGGTACAGCATGTCTCAATACTTGGCTATTTGGGAAAGTCGCATGTATTTCTCACACAGCATTCTCACACAATTGTAGCAGCTACTAAAATGTGAATGCTTCTGTCCCTAGCCCTGCCTCCATCCAGCTATCAGCCCCAGGCAGGACAGAGGGTGGGAGAGAGGGAGGAGTGGGGTTCATAAGCTGCAGGGGGGGGAACAGCACCAGCAGTGCACCCCACATTCTTGGGTCAGGTCAATGGGGCACAGAGTGTCCTTCCCCTGTTGAAGTCCTATCCAGGCCCTAGGAACCATGCATTGGAGCAGCCCCAGGAAGAGCTCAAAGGATTTTCCCCCAACCTTGGACCCAGTGCCAAGTTCCTGGGTGAAGCTGCTTCCTCTGCTGTGGCAGGGCTCCCATCCCTGGGGACAGCACTGGGGGAAGGGGGAGCAGCGACAGGCAATTCCAGTGAAGGAACAGAGGCTGCAGCCTGGGGAGCCAGGCAAGCCCCTGCCCAGGCACACCTGCTGCTTGAGTACCAACTGCTGCCAGCTGGGCTGGCTTGGCTCAGGTGGGTATGCTTCCAGCATGATCTCATCAGCAGCCTCACCAGCTATCCTCCCCTGACCTTGGCAGTGGCAGCACATGAGAAGGGAGCAAATCAATGGAACAAAGGATGAAACCCCAACTGGGGCCAAGTGAGTACTGCTCCCTGCCAACCACAGGCTCCAGGCAGCTGCTTGCTCCTTTCTACCCTGCTCCCAGAGATGCCATGGCACATCTTAGGAGTCCCCAGCTCCCTGCAGTGGAGCCTGGGCTAGTAGGCTCCTAGCAGTGGTGGCTGCCTGGGGATTCCCAAGCCAACAGCCTGATCTGGAAGGTATACAATGAGTATGCATGCCATAGCCTTTTCTGGGGTCTTTTACCAGCCCCTGGCACTGCAGCCTGGCTCTGCCCCCCTAGATTTGCCTACCTAGGCACAGCTGCAGATCCACCTCTGCCAACACTGCCCCCCCCTCCCCCCACCGGCCAAGCCCTTGCCTCTGCACTCTCTGCCGCACTGCTCTCTGAAGGGGCTGGGGAAGGGTGGCTGCCAGCTCAGCCAGAACACTGTTGAACAGGGACCCATGACCACCCACCAATTTCAGCACTGGAATCACCCCCAGTCAGGCACAGCAGCTGCAAGGTCTTCCCTCCTACTCCCCCCACCAGGCCTCCCCAGGAACCAGAGCCCTGTGGCTGCAGGGAAAAGAGCTTCAGCCAGGAATTTGGCACTGGCTCCAGTGGGAGGTGGGTGGGGGTTGGAAATCCACCAAGCTTTTCCTGGAGCCACTCCAATGCATGGGTCCTGGGGCTCCGATGGAACCAGGATGGGGAGGAGCACTCTATGCCCAGCCAACCCAAGCTGGGAATGCTGGATGCACCACTGGCACCAGCTTTCCCCACCCCACCACAACAGATCATGAGCCCTGCTCCCCTGTCCTGCCTGGGGCAGGTCCCCACCCTGAGCAAAACCCAAATGGGAGCAGACCCACAGAGCCAGAGCCCAGGCAGGCTGCAGGGCAAGCACACCTCCCTCTGCTGGTTGCCTGTGGCTAACAGATGATGTGGCAACAGGGGAAGGCATGCTTCTTGGGCAGTCAATCAAGGGTGGCCCAACTGCTCAGCTGTGTTTGGCAGTGTCTGTCAGCCCGGGGAGACCACTGGAGGCATGCAGGAGCATCCCCAACCTGATGACCTCAGCCAGAAAGCATAGCCTGAGTACCTCCCCACCCCTACCAAAGAGCAAACTCGTGTTCTGTTTGCTCCCAATCTAGCCTAGGGTGCTTACATTAAACTGTGTAACTTGGATCAATTCTGCCTCAAGCTTTTTGAATGTCTATACCTAGCCTATGTAGCAAAAACACTGTTGGTACAAGATAAATACACAGAAAGGCAAATTGGCTTTAAATTGCCAGCTCTGTACTTCAACTGTTTGTCAAGGATGTGAAATAAGTTCAGACCAATACAATCTAAATTACTCATATGCCAACTAGACTCAGCCATGGCAGATCACATGACTGCCCCTTACCTATGTTCAGCAGATGTTCCTAGAATCGGAGCCAGTTCTAGGAACAGAGATTGTTACAGTTAGTAAAATAGGATTTTATTTACGTTATTTGCTGATGCCCAGCCATACAATTCAAAGACTAAGCATAAAAATCAAAAACACCCAAGGGAAAGTTAATGGAAAGTTGCATGGGTTTTTTTATAAAACTTTTCCCAAAATCATGAGTTAATAGATTTCTTTAAATTAGTCTAAGGGCCAGATTTTCTCTGGCCCCCACCCTCCAAAAAGAGAGAAAAACGGAATTTGGTACCCAAAACAGAATTTAGGCAAAATAATGATTCCTCTCCCACAGGGGCCATCTAAAACCTAGGAAGTATCTAAACCTCACCAGGCCTGTTTAGCCTGAAAAAGTGCACCTGTACTGCAGTTCTACTTATGGGTATGCCTAAAACAGCCCCAGACTAAGCACTTTTGTTCCTTGTTAAATTTTACAGGACCCAGAACCTAAGTCTTTTATATAGAATACCGCCCCCTCACTGGGGCCTGCCACCCCATCCGGCTCAGGTGGCCATAGCCCTGCCTGGCCCCCTCTCAGGGTCCCTGCAGCCACCGGACTCACAAAGAGCCTAGGCACTGCTCCAGGGTCTCCACTGACCTGGGCCCTGCCTCAGGACTCCCAGGAGCCTGAGCTCCCCCTGTACCGGTTGTACCCACCAGGGATGTGGGAACTGGGGTTATAAGGTGCCCCGTGCTAGTCTTTCACCGGGAAGGCAATTGGCCTGGCATTTCTTGGGGACTCCCCCACCACAGGAAACCCCACCAGACCCCCCCCCCCTTGCCCAGCAGGGTGCAGTTTTGTGTCTTACCCAGGACAAAAGAGGCCTCCTCCATCCCCATAGCCTCACCATGTCCTCTGCAGTGTTCCTGGCAGAGCTCAGCAGAGAGATGTTTCTCCTCTGCTGGTGATCACCAACTGCCCCCAGCTCAGGGAGCTGGGCCTTAAAATGGCCACCCCAGTCAGGCACCTGCCCCTCCCTGGCCCAGCCCTTAAAGTGGCAGCACTAACAGCGCCCTGCCACAACCTGTGCTACTCTGAGTAGCACTTGGGCACGTTACAAATGCACTACAGAGAGGAGAGAAAGGGGAAAAGGAGCCTTGTTGCTCCAGAAAGTTTCTGGAGATAGATCTCTCCTCTGGTAGTAATCCAGTGTAAGGATGATTTAGCAGGTTTGGCTAAAAGGTGGGCCTGGGAACAGCCCTAGCAGTATAGACATAACCTTGAAGAGGAATGAACATAAGTGTTATCCAAAGAGAGGAGGCACGTAGTTATCCCTGACCAGAACAAAGAGAAGGGAAACATTTGGAACTATTATATATGGCTTTGTGTCATAAATTGGGGAAAGACTAATTTTCAAGGGCATAGACATTGTATAAACTTGTGATATAACAAATATACAGTTAAATTATATTTAAGATTTTAATATTAGTGGTTTGGGGGGGGGTTTAATATTTAAGTTAGGCATTTTTCTTCTATTCATTTTGACAATGCAGTTACATAGTGAGTATGTGGTAAAAGAATGAACATCTCTGAGTATTACATCAAAACACCTTAAAGTGCCTTAACACGGCTTGCTGGGCAAACACCTTTGCAGCCTGCCCTTATCAGCAGTCTGGACAGCCCCCCAAAGCCCATAGCAGCATAGCTGGGCAGTGCAGCCCAGTGCCGGCTGAGGGGTAGGAGCCTCCAGTCCCCCCAGACGTGACTGGCCCGGCCCCAGCCCCAGCCCCAGCTCTAACCCCCTTCCCATGTTCCTGCCTCCCCAACATCAGATGAGAGCAGGCCAGAGCCAAGCCCAGGGGGCCCCACACTGCAGCCAAGACAAAAAAGTGGTAGATACTGTTCTCTTAAGGTGCAGATGCTAGAGCTGGAGTGGCAGGTCCAGCAGCAGCGATACCTATCAGTGTGTCGACTAACTTGGGACTCAGTCAGCAGATAGGGCAGGAGGCATGAAGGCTTCTGTCAAGGCACAAGGGAAAGCCCTCCTCCCCCCCCCCGCGCACACACACACATACGCAACCTCCTGCAGTGGAAGGGGGCCAGTGCAATGCAGGCAGGGCCTTTGTTAGTGGCTCCCCAGCACCATACTACTCACAAAATAAAACTATGTCAAAGAGGAAGAGTCAATATTTTTAAATAAGCTTAAAATTCCCATCTACGAACATAATTTGCAAATAAACAGTGCTACAGGAATACTTCATTGCCACTTCATTATCAGTACCTTTTACTATGTAATTTATGGACATCTGCAATTTCACTTCTTCATTGCACTGTTTATAGGGAATAATAAATGTGTTCCTGTCATATAGAAAATAATTTCAGTGATTTTTTTCAAAATGAGGCAAGCCCCCAATCCCCTTTATACCTCTAAATCTACCCTGCCCCAGAAACTGTTTATTGTTTCTTTTTAAAATACAAAAGGTATCTTATGGCAATGTGTTTTGCTCAGACCAAGGTAGAGACACGTCTTAAAGTGTCTCTACTTCCAGTTTCCAATCCAACAGTGACATGTCCCTGTTTATCAGAATAGATTATATGTTTCTAGTAATTTTTTGTTCCCCTAAATTTACTGTGAACCAGAACAAGTATTAGTATTCACTTTGAACCAAAAAAAACAGTTTTGCATTTATAATGTCTGCACTTCTTCAGCTTTCCTCCTCCTTCAAATCATTCATCAAAATAAACACTTGTTGTGCTGGACTGTTGTTGAACCCTGAGCAAATTCGTCTTGTCTAGCTTAAACATTTGGCAGCTTGAATTGTTTACATGAAAAGTGGTACATTCTGATTGTCTCAAAAGCAGTTCCTGGGACATGCAGACATTCTACAAATAAAACCAGGAAATTACTCAGCAAAACAGGGATATATAGCCACCTTTAGTGCGGGCATGAAAAATTATGCTGATGGTGATTTATTTGATTTTAACCTTGCTTTGAGCACTATTAAAGACCAAAGATGGGCTACAACAACAATATTTTTGATAAAGTGGAACCTGCAACTAAACCATTGCTGTTTTTGCAAAGTAGAGGCTTGGTTTCTTTGGCACCTCTCTGTATCACCAAGCTATGATAAAACTTCTGATTTGGAAGACTGAGACTTAATAAAACACACTCTCAGTAGCACGCCAATAGGAAGGATAACTGCCATTGCCAGCAACAATCAGACTTATTGGTTTGACAATAAGATTGACAATGGGTTTAACAAAGATTTTGATTGTTCTTTTATGACTTTTATAACAACAGGGCATGTCCAAGTTCTATCTCCTGACAGGTTTGAATTAATTGTTAAGAGTAAATATCATTTTTGGTCAACTGAAAACTTGGGAATTCTGTAGTTTTTCTAATGTACTAGCACAGGCTATAAGTGATCACTTCTACTGTCCAGGGTGCAAAACAGTGTGAGACACATCAACTGAGCTTACAGAAATTAGATTGGTTTAAAATGGACACCAAAAATGAAATAATGAATTTCCCTGAAATCACATTCTCCTCTGCTGTCCCTAGGAAAATACAAATACTAATTGAAGTCTGCCTGGTAACTTATATATTATTTAAGTGTACAAACATGAATTTAGTACTGACACTGAGTTAGTGATAACTCCCCAAATGACAAACATATATATATCTTGTCCTTAAGCTTTAGTGTTGACTTTTTCCTGGCACAACCTACTCTTAACAGAAAAAGGAAGTTTTAGTGGGAGTGCAGGTTAGGACCTGATCACACAGGTGTCTGAACTATGCAGTTCCTCATAAAAATGATTAAATAGACATAACATTAAAAAACAAACAAACAAAAAAAGTCCCCCTCTCATGTTAAGACTAATTCCAGATTCCTAGCCTGAGATGAAGAGCATGACAAACATGAATCTGAGTAGTTAATTCTACTGAAGCTGTATGAATACATGTGCACAAATGTGCTGCCAAAATTTCCATTACCCCTGACTTTCCCAAGAGCCAACTTACAAAAAGCAATTCTCTACAACAGAGGCAGTGCTACAGAAAAAGTATTACAGACCTTGGGTATATTTCATTTCTTTAAGCCTGGAGGATAATATGATTCGTCCCTAGATTGGATCCCCCTGCTTTCATACTCTTAGACCCTTTTATCTCACATAGCACCCGATCCAAATTTAGTGAGTCCTTTTATTGCCCTCATTTGTCTTTGGACTTGGTCCATAGACCTTTGGGCTCCCACAGTGCTAACAGCTACCAGAATCCAGAACAAAGCAGAGGGGATCTAGCATACAAATAGAATATACGAGTTCTTATATTGGACATTGTACTTATATAGTAAATTTCCTGTGCCAGTGTCTATTTTTAAAAAGTACACCAGTGGAACTTGTATTGCAACCATTAGTAGCTAGTATCTCTATGACTCTTAGAAAAATAGTACAGCAAATGTTATGGCCAACACACTGTCACTTTATGGACTGTATGTTAAGGGAGTAAAATAAAAAGGTTTCCCACTTAAAGCCCTGTAACAGGACAACAAAGTCAGATCAACACATTTTGCTCATATGAAAGATTCATACAATACTGTAAAACTTATTTTATGGTGTAGTATAATTCATCTTACACATATCAGTACCATCTAACAACTGCAATGCCACTGGAAATCTTAAAGGATGTTCTCTGTAGTTTCATCATAAAATGCTCCAGTTCTTTTAAAAAAACTGTTATAGACTGAGAAATGTAGTATGAATGATATGCAGGAAATGTAGAGTTTATTAAAGTTGCTGGAAAATGAAATGGCCTATTTATTCATAGGTCAGAGACAGCATAGGAGAAAACTACAAGTTTCACCAACAAATCCCTCTGATATATCAGAGGGTGATTCTCAGCAAACCTGAGCCATGTAAGCTCATCCATAGCCTACCTCATGGCCAGCAACAAAGCAATCCCCATTGTGCTTAGCTTCTTTTATGGATTCCCTTCTCTTACAGAAGGAGACTATATGTCTCTCCTTCCAGGCTGGCCTCTACTAAGGGAGGCACTGGAGAAAGTGAACTAAATGCAGAAAGACCAGAAGTCAGAAATAGGGATTTGGGGAACAGGTCTCAAAGTCTGCACCCTGTGAATAAAGTTACAAACGCTGCAGAAAAGGGTTGCAATGAAGGATAAGAGAAGGAGCTGCAAAGTTGGCCTCAATCCAGAAGTTCAGCAGAGCTTTCAGGATTGGGCTGGATTGGCACCAGCAATCAAACCTAGAAATTTAGAGTTTCCAATGATTATCAGGCATGGATTTAGGACAGTTTGTCAGTGAAGATATAGCATAAATTGCTTCCATCTTTACTGTTAGGTAATCTGCTCTGAAGAGGTGGGTTAGTTTTTATACTCTTTTAGTCCCTGGCCTTTCTGCTGGAACTAAAATACTACTATTATACAGAAAATAACGTATTATGGCTGAGTGAATACAAACTAACTATTTCAGTGTTAGTTATCCAGAAGCTGACCTCATCAGAAATATTTCAATATACAGTATTCCAACAAATACAGTTCTGTTGACACAGATGTAGATTTTTGTTGTTATAAATAAAATTCTTATTATAAAGGAAAATAGAAGAAAGGCACTCTGATAATGTCAACAACTCTGTATTTCAGTTTGTTTATTGTGTCCTCGGTATTTAATATAGTCAAAATCAAAATCAAGTATTTTGAAATGATCGGTATGAAGCATTTTGACCAATCAAAAGCTTTAAAAACAGAAATCCTTCACAAATAATTTTAAATCAGAATGAAAACAAATGTTAGCATCTCAGATCCCCTATGAAGCGAAGTCTATGTCCAAAAGTGACACAGCAGGTTAGCTGAAATAATTCTTTCAGGATCTCTGGCATGGACACCATTCACTAGCTGCCCAACCATTCAAATAAATACTTCAGTGGCATCGGATACTTCTTAATACTTTA